CTGCCTTTCCTGTGCCTGGGCCAGCTCCTGCGGGCGCCTGCTGATCTGCTGGGGCGTGTTCGTCAGCCTTCCCAACCTTTGGGGTCCTCGAGGGGCCGGCGTGGAGGTTCTGATGGAGGAACCTCTGCAGCCGCCGGGCCTGGCGAGGGACGCACACCACCTGGCAGTACCCGTCCGGTGCGTCGAGGTCGTACACGTTCGGAAAGGTCAGCCACGCACTCCCAGACGGCCCTGTAGGGGCGAGGGCGATGGTTTTGATGTCCTCCCGGCGCGGGTTGGTGAGCCCCAGGATGCGGCACACCTCCCTTCGCTTCTCCCGAAGCTGCTCGCACCAGGTTGCAGCAAGCTCTTCCCAAAGGCTGTGCACATAGTCAGCTGGGAAGGCCACGTCGTCCTCCTCGTAGGCAAGGCGCAGGGTCTCCAGGGCTCGGCGTCTCTCGGGCTCGTGCATCCGCCCGTAGACTAAGCCCGAAGACGGTGATGGCGTTCTCGGCCTGCCTCACCCACTGAGAGAAGACGACCGGGTGCCGGGGGCGCGGCTCGAGCTTGCACGTGGTGGGCATGGTGTAGGCGTCGAACACCTCTGCTTTGCAATGGGGAAAATCGGCCACGGAGATCGACCACTCGGCCAGATCCTTGTGGTCCCGCCCCCCCCAACAGAAGGCGGCGATGCCGTGCGCCATCCTGTTCGTCACCGTCGTCGGCCAGTTCGCCGCCTGCATCACGTGCTTCGCGTGCTCGCAGGCGCGCTTGAGGCCATGGAACAACTCCCGCCCGGTCAGGGTACCGCAGACCTCTACGTCGAGGGTGTCGCAACCCCGCGCCAGGTACACGTCCAGCTCCTCGGCACGTCCGATGGCGCCGAGGGTGCCCCGCTGCGCTACCTTCTCTTCCTCGCCGGACCTGCGGAGGCTGTCCGCCGCCTGCAGCAGCCGCGTGTTGTCCAGGTGCTGCTGTTCTTGACCGTTCCGGAGGACTTGCGCGTAGGTGGAGAAAGCGGCTGAGGGTTCACCTTCACCGGCTCCTGCGGCGTACCTACGATCGGGTTGCCCCGGGGTTTTAACCAGTCCTCCGTGGCCGTAAGCGCTCCGGTTAGTGAACATCTGCCCGAGATTCGGTACAAGGCCGGGCATCAAACCTGGCGGGGACAAGCGAGTCGCTCCCGGCACGCGCACGCCAGGCGGGGTAGCCGGCGGCGGCAATGGCGGAGCGCTCGTGGCGGCGTCCAGCCCAGGGGGAACTCCAGGTTGGCTGGGCTCTTGGCTGGCGTCGGGCTTGCGCTCGGTGTCTAGCTTCAAGAGGCCACTAGCGAGGGGTGGGTTCACCCCCTCATCTTTTTCGGCTCGAACCCGCTCCAACTTTCTTTCCCACCTGTCGATGTGCGCCTGGTATTTGGCCCGCTCCTCGGTCCCGCTGCTGCGCATGAGACGCCTGGTGTACTTGATGAGATGCCCCAAGACCACGGTGATGTCCTCGTCGTATCCTGCCGCCACGCTCTGTAGCGCCGAGGCGTCGTCCGATCCTTCTTCGTGAGCGGCGAGGTACAGCCCCAGCATGGCCTCCCCGGTGTTCTCCTCTTCGTGGTCCTTCCCCGCCGGACTGCGGGAAGAGCGCCGAGGGACTGAGGAGGCCAGATCACCCTCCTCGCCCAGGCCCCACCCGACGCCGAATGGGGGCTTGGGGGAACTGCTGCGATCAAGCCTCGCCCAATGCTTCTTGAGTAGCGTGTCCAGCTCGTCGGAGGTGGGCTGCGGTACTCCGGGGGCATCACCTGAGGTGCCCGCTGGATGCCGGCACACGAGCAAGTCCCCGCGGGCCCGAAGCTGAGCCCACTGAGGGCGGCCGATACGCTTGGTCTTCCCGCCGACGGGGACCCCGTTCCAAGGACGCAGCTTCTCCCACATGGTGCTGCTCACGACGACGCCGTGCACCCCGATCCCCATTTCCTCGGCCCCGAGTGGTGGGTGATACAAGAGCTCCTCCAGGTAGCCTGCGGGGAGCCTTCCCTGGTCGCTGGCGACGGGAGCGTACTCGATCCCCGCGGTCTTGAGGGCGAAGCAGACGTTCTCCTGGCCTTCCGCCGAGTAGTCTTTGCAGCGCGGCTCCTCCACGTCTACTACAGTCGTGCTGCCATCTCCGGTGGGCCCTCCCCCTGGACGGGACTTCCCCAAGAAGATAACCCACTGCGGGCCGGCGGCCCAGTGGACTCGCACACGCAGTACGAGAGGGTCACCTTGCTCGATCTCCTCGTCGGGGGCAGGGCTGGCGTCTCGCGGGAGGGGCACCCTCGGAGAAGGCGGCGCTGCAAACCTGACACCAACAGGTGGACCTCGCGGCGAAGCTGAGGCCCCCCGTCGGTGTTGCCCAGGGGCTGCTTGTCCGCGATGGCCCTCTGGTCCCCGTGCCCCGTCTGCGGGGGGAGCTGCGTTGACTGGGATGCCCTGCTCGCGCGCCCGTGGGCTGCGACTGCGAACCGTCCGACGCCGCAAGCCCGGGCTCGAGAGGAATCCGCGGCCCTGGACGGCTGCGGCTGCCTGCGCTGCTCGACCTGCTTCTCCACCCAGATGAAGAAGACATAGTGGTGCGCCCTCTGCGTTGCCAACTGCCTGGCGGTAGCAAGTCACCTGCGAACACTTATCACGGTACCGAGATGCTCGGTAAACCTGGGCATGATGTGCGCAGAGATGGGCGAACGAATTCCGCCCGTCACTGGGTGGCGGGAGGTCTGAAGCTTGCCCGTCTTCGAAGAGCAGGGTGGTCGGCTCGGCCTCCGCGGCGCCCCTGCAACCGTCGGGTGCCAAGGGGCGGGCGCCGCCACGTAGAACGATACCCACCCGAACAGCTTCACATGGCTTGTCCTCGGCCTCCACCTCCGACTCTGACTCCTGATCCAAAACTTCTGCGATGCTCCCTGCAACGCCTGGCTCCGCAGCGCCTGTCTTGCGACGGCGGCGGCGCCGGCAGCAAAGGGAGCAACCGCAGGAGAGGATGCAGTAAAGGAACACGATAACTTTCCAGATGCCCCTCCCCAGGTCGGCGACGGTCCGCCAGAGCAGGAAGACGCCCCGGCAAGAGGTGAACCTGGCGTGGGAGCCGATGTCCACGATCGCCTCGGAATCCAAGGCAGCGTACTCTTTACAGTGAACTTCTCCAGGTTGATCTCTACAAACCAGGTTGCGGCACAGGTGAATGGAACGGCCTTCGAGCGACTCCAGCTTCTGACGGAGTGCGCGTGAGCTGGCCCCCTTCACGCCCAGGTAGTCCATCCAGAGGCCCTTCCGGTCGATCCGCTTGGGCTCCGAAAGGTCGATCTTCAACCGGGCCACGTGGTCGTCGATCTTGATCAGCACGTCGTTAGGTCGCCTCCCAGTCCCACGACCCTTCACCTTCTTGCTGTAGTACTCCGTGGTCGTGGCTGGTCCGGTCTCTGGCCCCATCCAATTGATCTGGGTAAGGGCAGGCGGAGCCGGCGGCAGGTACCTTTCGGCAGCTGCGTCGCCAGGCTCTCGCCGGCGGCACTTGGTGCACCGCGCCAGTAGACCGATCAGCCAGAGGGCGGCTGCGCAGGGGGCCAGTAGGGTACGACAGATGTGAGTGAGGAAAGCCAGCACCGCCAGGAAAGCCAAGAAGATGAACGTCCATGCCACGGCAGGCCAAGCGGCTCCGAAGACCGTCAGGCCCAGCTTCTCGAGAGCATAGAAGAACCATCCACCATCCTTGGTCAGCCAGCCTGTCTCGGCATGGGTGGAGAAGGCGCCCCCAAGGCTGTCGAGCTTCTCGTAGGCGACCCCGCCCATGCCACTCAGGCGCCAGGCCCAGGTGCCCTCACGCAGTGGCTTCAATCCCAGCGCCCAGACACCCCAGCCGCCCACCCAAGACTCCTCGCTGCCTGGGTCCTTGGTGGGGTCGCTGCCATTGTCAACTCCTCCGGCGGCCTGGGCTGGGGGCGGGGGCGGCGCTCCCGGCGGCCCACTGTCGGGCGGCGCCTGGGGGCTGCCTGCATCCCCACCCTCCTCCTCGTGCTCGCCGATCTCCATGCCGTACTCGGAGTCGTCGTAGTACGGCGCGGTGTACCCGAACGGGGCCTCCTGGGCCGCAGCCGGGTGGCCCCAACTGGCGCGGGCGACAGCGGAGCTGAGGGGCCCGCGCCAGTCGTAGGCGGCTGCGCTGGTGACCAGCGCGGCCAGCCCGCGTGCCGCGCCTGCCAGCGCCGGGCGCCGGGCAGCCATGGCACGCACGCTTCCGGGCGCCGCGGGCGCCCAGACCTCCTGAGGTCGGCTCCAGGGCTTTGAGCCCCGAAGGCTTGAGCGGGAGAGAGGAAAAGGGAAGGGCAAGCAGAGGCAGGAGCAGGGAGAGGAGAAACCCAAGCCGACTGGGGAGGGCGGGGTCCAACCGTTTAGGACAAACAACTAATTATGCATGTTTGCTCGTGGTGATGCCCCTCGGAGCGTCTGTTACTGGTGCAAATCATTGTCGCTACCGGACGTGCTATGTCACACTGCTACAAAGTTTTCAGACCTTCCGTTTTTTCATGTGCCCGCCCCGTTTTCGATGCTAAATTTTGCAATTTCTGGGGTTGAGCTGCGTTTGGATCGTTTGTTCCGCGTGGCGTGCGCGAAGAGCGTTGTTGTCGTGGACGTCTGTTTTTCCTGGGCAGTTGCATGCTCGTCTTTTCTAGTCCAGAGCATGAGACGCCTTCCGACGTTCGACCCATGGTCGCCATCATCTCCATCGGAGCGGGGGGGCGGAACGGGGGGGAGGAGGGCGCTGGGGTCGGCGGGGAAGCGGTGGCAGCAGTTAGGATCATTCGTCCCGTTCCCAATCGTTGTGCAACCCCCAACATGCTATTGGTTTGCAAGGGGTGCACGCTGGGACTCATTTCCAGCGGGTGCTCATTCGGATTCGTTTTCAGGGGGTGTACGCTGGGATTCGCTTCTGGTGTGTGCACACAGGGCCGTCCCCGCTGGGGGTGCACGGTGGTGCTCCGGCGCTGGACTCCGATGTTGGACATCGAGTTCGTTGTCGGTCCTCCGCGCGACCGGGTGTACATTGGGATCCCCATGTGGGTGTACATTGGCGTTTCGCCTGAGGCATCCTCGCAATCCGTCCCAGCGAACACCCGGTCTGGCAGGCCTCGCTGCTGCAATGACCATGCCCAGTGTGAGGACACATTCCGACTCCGTCAGAGCCGCTCGTGTTTGGGCTGGTGGGTGTACATTGGCTCGCCGGTTCCCCGGGTGTACATTGGCACGTACGTTTGGTGGGTGTACATTGGCGCGCCAGTTCCCTGGGTGTACACTGGAGCCCCGTGGTCTGGGGTGCACTGGAATTTGGAGTCCATGGCAGGACCCCTCCCTCTCCCTCGTCCCTCCTCTTTCCTCTTCCTTTTCCTCCGCCTCCATACTCCTCCATTCTCCTGCCCCCTCTCCCCTGCCCCTCTCCGCGCGCGCCTGTGCCAGCAGTGCAAACGGGAGGAAGGAAACTGGGCGCCTATCTCCGCAAAGCGCCAGTTGCGTCAGCACCGGGGAGCAGGAGGATGAGGGGAGGGGAGGATGGGGGGGGATCCTGGGAGGAGAGGAGAGGGAGGGAGGGAGATATTAAATTGTTGTTACCAAGCGACCGCGAGTAAAATGCTGGTGTTTCGGCTGCTTGTTCTCCAGATGAACATAATTTTTGGCGATCATGGATCCTTGACGTATGTACTTGATGTAGGCTGCTGATGCATGTCAGCGATGCCAGTTCTCTATGTGCAAGTTTGATGTGTTACCGGTAATTGTTTCTGATGTATGTCAGTAGCCGATGTCTGTTCTGGATCTGTGATATGGATGTGTATGTGTATATATACTACTGAAATGTGTGATTGAGGTCTGTTCCAGATGCCTGTAGACGGCGTGACGACGCGACGCCTTAACAGCTTGACGCCGCGACGCCTCTCTTGTGGGGCTCGAGAGGCGAATCCCCAGGATCAGCCGGGATTCAGAAAGCTTGGCAGCCCTGGTATGGTGGATGTTCGAGGCGGGTCAGGGTCGGTTCCGGGCGCGGAATTGTCGGGTGTGGGATACACAAAAAAACGAGCCCCCAAGAGGGTGCGGGGGTCGGACCTGGTGGGGCGTGGTGCGGGGTCAGGGTCGGTTCTGGACGCGGAATTGTCGGGTGGGTTGTCCCGAAGACAGAGCCCCCCGGTGGGTGCGGTGGTCGGACCTGGTGGGGTCGTGGTGAGGGGTCAGGGTCGGCTCCGGGCGCGGAATTTCCGGATGGGGGGTCCGAAAAACAACGTCCGCAAGAGGGTGCGGGGGTCGGAATTGTCCGGTGGGGGGTCCCCAAAACAGAGCGCCCAGAAGGTGGTGGGGATCTTTTTTGGTGGGGGCTTGTCAAGGGTATGTCAGGGGCGTTCTGAGTGGTCAGGGTCGGTTCCTGGCGCAGAAGTGTCGGGTGGGAGATCCCAAAAACAGAGCGCTCAGGAGGGTGCGGGGGTCGGACCTGGTGGGACCGTGTTGGGGGGGTTCAGGGTTGATTCGGGCGCGGAATTGTCGGGTGGGGGGTCCCACAAAAACATAACCCCCAGGATTGTGCGGTTTTTTTTCCTGGTGGGGGCCTGGTGGGAGCGTGGTGGGTGGCGTGGTGCGGGGTCCGGGACGGTTCCGAGCGCAGAACAGTCAATGTGGGGTTCCCCAAACACAGCCCCCAGGAGGGTGCGGGGGTCGGACCTGGTGGGGGCGTGGCGGGGGGTCAGGGTCGGTTCTGGGCGCGGAATTGTCGGGTGGGGGTTCTGAAAACAGAGCCCCCAGGAGGGTGCGGGGGTCGGACCTGGTGGGAGCGTGGTGGGGGCGGGGTGGGTGCGCGCTGACGGGTCAGGGTCGGCTCCGGGCGCGGAATTTTCGGGTGGGGGGTCTCAAGAACAGAGCTCCCAGGAAGGTGCGGGGGTCGGACTTGGTGGGAGCGTGGTGGGGGGTCAAGGTCGGTTCCAGGCGCGGATTTGTCGGGTGGCGGGGTCCCAAAAACAAAAAACCCAGGGGGGGGGTGGTGGGGGCGTGGTGAGTGCGTGGTGGGCAACTCCCCGACTTCACGAAATCTGCGGGCGCATCGTAAATGGAAGTTTGAGGTGGTCGTCTGATCTCCACCGGTCGACTGCGCATTCGATTGCATTGGAAATGCGTGCAACTGACCAATCGAACTTGTGCGTCACGTGAATCCTGCTGGATGAAACCCGCGGTCGGTAGCGGGAGAGAGCCATAGACGACGGCGTGTCAGAATCTTGCAAATTTATGTTGTGAGGGCACAAGTTCCCGAGTGGATCTGACAGCAGCCACCCGGGAATTGGAAGTGCGGCAGTACGTGCATCTACGGCGCAATCGTTGTTCAGAGCCTCTAGACCAAGACGCGTCTACTAGTGCCGGATGCGCCGAAGAGTTGCACAGCGGTGCCCACACGGACGTGGGCTTCACATGGACAGAGTGCCCCATGGCATCGTGGTCCCCCTTGTTGCAAACCCACAATCTGGGATCCAAAATGATCGTGCTAACAAAGAGGATGCAATCGATTGTCGAATCAACCAAGCGGTTTGGAATTCACATGCGCAGTAACATCTCTTGGTGCTGGTTGGGCCTGGAGTTGATACTCAAGATGTCGTCGCGAAATCGGTCGTAGCATGCAATGCCATATTCGCGCCGAATGTCCAGGCGGAGCCTGCATGGCCTCTCGTTCGTATTGTGAAAGACGAGGTCCGACATTTCGCCACTGCAACACAAGCACATGCCCATGCCGCGGAGTACCTTGTAGACCAAAGGATGGGCGTCAAGGCTTACAGATAAACATACATATTGATTGCGGACAATGTTGGGAAGAAGAGCTCGGAAGTGTTCTCGGTCTTCAGCGATATGGTTGGTGCATTATTCGATCAACAAGCCGTGCTCGCCTGACATGGACAAATATTTGATGTCGAGCTTTCAGAACACACAGCTCTGAAGGAGCACAAGTGCCGACAGCTGCCTTTCCAGCTGCCCTGTATCGGTCAAGAGGTTCGGCATGCACTGGAGCACGCGCCTGGAGTTCCATGCAACCCAGCGCGTGTTGAAAAGCATTTGGTGACTAGAGCTGCAACGGAGCAGCCTGCAAGTGACCTGCCCTGGCGGCTTGTGAGTCTTCACATTTAGCGCAAGGACAGAAAATAACCGAGCGGGGGGAGAGCGAGATAATCATGAAGAAGGGCCTAAACCAGGTCTTCGTTCTCAAAGTTCTGGGCAGCCTCGCAATAATCTGACATCGCGTCAAGCACGAATTCTTCGTACCATGCTACGCGAGTGTAGTGACCAGAAGCCAACGCCCGAACGCAGCGGGGTCGATCGATCGATCCTGGATGTACAGACGCGTTCGAAACTCAAACTGTACTCGACGTGAATACACAAGGCGATCCTCGTCGTTATCCCGCTCCTGTTCCTTTCACGAGGCTATTGAGCGGGTGTTGCAATAGTTCAAGGGACCCAAGGCAAACCCAGACAGATTTCTTGGGATAATTGGATCCCCTGGGATAGCGGACGGTCAAGCCCACCGGTGCTCCCACCGCGTGCGTGGGCCCACCTTTCTTGGTAGCCCTTGGGTGTGCCAAAGTGCGAGCGGGGATCTGCGCATTCCAAGCGCAAGACCGCAAGGGGTAAGGAAATCCGCTTTGATTGCGACGAGAGGGGGACGAGGGGAGGAGGGAAATTCATGACATCCTCTTCACTCGCCTCCTGCTGACAAGATGGTGGCCCCAACAACAGCAATATCCAGATGTCTACGGCAAGTCCCGCCACCACGCCTGGGTTGTGGGTATGTAGCCTCTTGGATGTTCGGTGGGATCTCGTGGGAGGCCTCTTGGGGGCCTCTTGGAAGCAGTTTTGAAGCCTCTTGGGGGGCCTTTGGAGGCAGTTTGAGGCCTCTTGGGGGCCTTCTGTAAGCTTCTTTGGTGCATCTTCTAGGTCTCTTTTGAGCCTCATGGTGGCCTCTTGGAAGCCTCTTGGGACTTCTTGGAGGCTTATTGGGGCTTCCTGAAAACCTCTTCAGACAAAGGGCTCGAATTGTCGGGTCATGTTCCCCCTCTCGGGGCTCTCTTTTGTTGTCTTGGACGCTTCTGGGGCCTTTTGGGGGCCCTCATCGGCCGTCTTGGGACCCTCTTTGGCGCCTCTTGGGCCGTCTTGGGCCAGTCTTGGGGGGTCCTTGGGGCAGTCTTGAAGCGTCGGAGTTTAGAAACTGCGATGGCATAAACACACACACACACACACACATACAGTGGGAAATCAACGATTTGTGTTTCTTGGGGCTCTTTCTGGGGTCCTCTTAGAGCGCTCTTCGGGCTTCTTTCCGGCCTCTTGTGCAGTCTTGGGGCCATCTTGTACGTCTTGGGGCGATCTTGGGTTGTCTTGGAGGCCTGTTGGCGGCATGGGTGGGATTCCCGCGCCGCCATGGAAGCACTGGAGAGCCCCAGGGAGGCGCCACGGCCGCCCAGGCCCTCCCCTGGGAGTAGGGGGTGGCGCAGTCGCCTGCCTGCTGAGCGAGGAGTGGGTGGTCCCTTAGAAAGCTACATGAACGCGCGCCAGGCAGCTCTCGGCATTATTCCACGCCTCAACGTGCTGCAGGCACAGTGGCGGATAACCACACCCCAGTGCCCCCAAGCAGTGCCCCCCCCCTCCGTCGCCCATGTCCCCTCCCAGAAATAGGGAGAGGGAGCACACACACACACACACATTCGCACAGCATGGTGTCAGCAGAAGGACTCACAACAGGGACGCCTGCCTGCTGGGCCTGCGCCACTGCGCCACTGAACGCATTCCCCTCGCATTCCCCTGCGCACTGTCGTGCCCGTGCCGCGCTTCTGCCCGCCAGCAGGGCAACAGCAGCGCACATGCGAGTGGGGACTGCCTCTCCCCCCTCGTCGGCCCTCGTTGCCCTCGCCACTTCCCCCCAACCCACCCCTCGTCCTCGCCGCCTCCCCGTGCTGCTCACCTCTCACGCCCGCTCGCCCCTCACCGGGAAATCCGATGCATCGAAATAATCACGACGGAATGCCCTCGGCCAGCCCCTTGAGTGCCCAAAGACGGGTCGAGACTAACGAAAAAATAACACATCCTCTCTCTGGGCACCCACCTGAGCTCCCCAGCCGACCCTTGGCCCAACCCATACACTCGACGATACAATTGTTTCAATCTGTGTCCCTGGAGCGCCCGACCCGTTCCCTGGAGGTAGTTGCTCGTCCCAGATCCGTCGTTGATGGTCTTGAGTCCCAAAAACGGACCCCAGAGGCCGAAACCGAGGATACACTCCTGGATGGGAAAAAACATATTGTCGGAGATCTGGGAACCAAACCTCGGCGGCGAGCGTGGGGGAGAAGTGAGAAGGGGTGGGCCTTCTCAGAAGGCTCGGAAGGCCTCCGGCCTCCGGCCTAGGCCTTCAATGGAGGCTTAGGCAATTTCTGAGAAGGCGCGAGGGTTTCTGAAGAGCCCGTCCGCCTCCTGAGGAGGCCTGCCCCCTCTCACTTCACCCGGGGCGCGCCGCCAACAAATTGCTGAACGAACAACACGTGCCGATACGCATAGGGGGGACGGAGGGAGCTATGGGTGCGTGGTGTCGGATGGGGGTCCCCGCTCGACCGGCAGCGCTCGCCGGGATCCGACAACTCGCACCCTTACCCATAACCAGTCCTCCTCCCTCCGACCCCCCTCTGAGTATGGGTGTGTGTGTGCTGTTCGACCGTCGAACAAACCACGCCGCCGCCCCGACGGCGCCCCGCGCCTGGTCCGGCGCCGCTCCCGCAGGTGGCCGCGCTGGAGGCCCGCCTGCCGCTGGCGGGCGCCGCGCCGCCGCGGCGGCAGCAGGAGCGCCCTGTCGAGCGGCGAGGCTTGGGGCGCCGCCGACGGCGACGACGGCCACGCCGACCTCCACGGCGGGGGCGGGCCCCGCGTCCCGAGGAGGGCGCACACCTCTCGGATCATGAGAGAGGCACGACGGGAGGTTTCCCGCTGTGTGCGGCTTCCAGGGCCCTTACATTCAGGGGCACCGATAAGGGGGATGGGCACAGGCAGGGGGGGGATGCATCGACCCCGACTCGCCCATGGATCGCCGATAGGGGTCTGATAGCCCCACCCCGCCCACGAAGGTGCGGTTTCGCTACCGGGGGCTTAACGCCAATATATCGGCGATGTATCGCCGATTCCAAGTCGATTCACCCCCCCCCCTATGCCAGTCCCCCCCCCTATCGTTGCCCCTCACCTTACCCGGCCTCGGGACCGTCTAAAAACAACTCAGGATGAGAATCTGGGGTGCAGACCTCTTGGGGGCCGACGTTATGACAAAATCATGACGTCGGGGGTCTGGGCCCACGGCGGCGGCAGGCGCCGCGTGCCGAGATGGGCGCACGGCGGCGGCGAGAAGGGCACACGGTGGCGGCGGCGGCCGGTTACTGAGTTTCGGCATGGTCGGTGGTTTCGGAGTTTTGTGAAACTCCCGTTGTGCACTGCACCTTCCCGCTCCGCCTCTGGTCCCATCGTCGACGATGCTCGTTTGATGCTGCACGGTAAGCTGACTGCCTGAAAAGGCTCTTGGGGCGAAACGCGTAGCCTCTTTTCCTTGTCGCTTGAGAGTCGATCCAAAACAAGTGCCAGCAGCAACGGCCTGCGACGGCGACGATTCGAAGAAGAACAGACGGCATAAACACATTTTTTCTGAGCTCAGCGCGGATATCTCGGATCTGCGGTGGGGCCCCCTTGGGGCGCCTCCGGCGCCATTGCGCTCCGCGCCCCAGGGAGGGGGATCCAGCGCCGATCCCAGAAATCCGCGCGGACCTCTGAAAGTTCATGCTTATGCCGTCTTTTGTTCCTCTACCAACGGTCTCGCCGACCTCGGCGGCGGCGGCGGGCCTTGGCCATGCCCAGCTTGGCCCCACGGCCGGTGTAGATGCCCCCCCCCTCTTTGCCAAGCCACGTGTGCGCCGGGTCTTGCCGCCTCTATGGCCCAGCTCGCTGCCGCGCAGCCCGCCGTCGCTTCGGCCGCGCCGGGCCGTCTGTCCCTGCGGGCCAGACAAGTTCTAGGCCTCACAGAGGGGTTCGAGTAGATACTCGAGATTTCGTAATAAAAGGGAGGGGGTCTGGACCCTCCAAGACAAGCCATTTCAGACCTCCCCCGTGGGAGAACCCTCCAAAACATCGTCCCCAGACCCCCCAGGCCCTCCAAGATAGCCTGGAAGAACCCCCCCCCCGAAATGAGGCCCCCCTCCCTTTATTACGAAATCTGGAGTAGGGGCGGAGGATCGCGCCGCATCGCCAATGTATCGGCGATGCGGCTCGATGTGGAGGCCGAGGTTCCGTCGCCGATGCAGCGCTGGCGTCGCCGATGCATCGGCGATGTATCGGCGTACCCGGCGATTCTCCGATCCCATCTACTCCAACATCTGGGAGGCCTCTACAAGTGCGCCAGGCCCTTGAGCCCAGGATGGGTGCGGCCAGGACCGATGCACGTGCACAGTGTTC